AACAACAGCAAACAGGCTGCCAATTTACCCCACAATGTCACAACTGCCTGATGACCTGTTCAAAGCAAAACCGCTCATTTCCAAATTCCTGGATCTGCTTTATGCTTCAACATTAAACCCTTAGGAAATTTTAGAGCTCGCATGTCACATTTATGACTCCTGGGTAAATGGCTGTGTGCAAACACACTGTTCTCGTGACACCTCTTTGTCCTTTAATTGAGCCTGGGGGTGGGGGTGCACTGAGAGCCACTTTCAATTTAGCCTGCCAGGCTAGGAGCCACCAGGAAGGACTCAGAAAGGACTTCAAATTCAGTTCACTTCTCAACAGTGAGGTTGGGAAGGGTACTTCTAAAGCACAATTCCAAAATAAATTTTATAGAGAAAGAGGGTTCCTTTGTCAGGCACGAAGAGCTGGTCTGGGACAGTGAGCTGATCAGAGTTCATTTCCCTCAAGTCCTGTCTGCCAGGGCACGCTCTCAAGTCTGGCAGTGGTAATGTGGGGAGCCTGGTTCAGAATATTGAGGGGATGGCTGGGAGACAAGAACTCCTTCAGAGAAGCTTGCTGGGAGAAGAAGAACACAAAACCAGAGAAATAAGCAAATAAGCAACAAAGGCCACTTGAGTCTAGAGATTTGAGAGGTGCAGTAGGAATTAACCATCTACACACACACAAGCATAGCTTCCTTCTAGAAAGTGGACGCTTTTCCTGATTAACCAGGGGCTGGGATCCAGTCAGAGAATAATTTAAAGTCTGATGAGCTTTACAGACTGGACACATGAACGTGCAAATTGTGTTTTCTTAACAACATAAAGAGAACAATAGCAGTGAAATGTAAATCCTCTGAATTATGGCCATACTTGTACTTCAGTGATAAGTGAAAAATGTATGTGCATAGACTTCAGACATTCCTCTAAAAGCTGCATGCCCAGTGCGTGAGCAACTAGTGGGAAACTAGTTTCGTGTGTGTGTGTGTGTGTGTGTGTGTGTGTGTGTGTGTGTGTGTGTGTGTATGTGTGCATGCATAGATGTATGAGCATGAGTGCATGTGTGTGTATATGAGTGTGTGTGTGTGCATGTGTGCATGCATAGATGTATGAGCATGAGTGCATGTGTGTGTATATGAGTTATGTGTGTGTGTGTGTGTGTGTGTGTGTGTGTGTGTGTGTGTGTGTGTGTCCATATCTATCTGCTAGTCTGTCTGGTTGTCCTCAGAAAAGGAAAAACTATAAAATACTTTAAAGTAGGTAATAGCACTCATCATAGCTATAACCTGACATTTCTATGACATCACTGGGTGGTTATTCATAAATCTGTTACTCATCCAGAAGAACAAGCATGTGTGGTGATAGAGCACAAATTGAATGCCTAATCACTATCAGTGCTGGGCCCTTTCTTCTGTGAGTTACAGAGCAATAACTAAGATTTACTGAGTGTTCCTCTCCTGCCAGCTTCCACACTAAGCACTTAACATACATCCTGGCATTCGAGTCTTCCAAGAATTCTAACGATCCTATTATCATCTACCTTTCCAGTGACTGGGGCTTAGAGCTAGTCTGCCGACCAATATTAATCACCTAAAACATTTTATGGGATAAATGACTTGACTCTAGGCTTTCTCAAGTTAGTTTAACAATTAGCAGTTTATAATTATATGTGCAATGGGAGATTTGGGAGGAGTTAAAGGGGGGGAAATGCCTGAGAAAGTAACCCAAAGTCCCTGTGCTTTGGAAACTGGTGTTATGGGGTAGTCTCTCTCTGTCTCTGTTTCTGTCTGGCTCTCTCTCTGTCTCTCTCTGTCTCTCTGTCTCTGTCTTTCTCTCTCTCTCTGTCTCTCCACCACTCCTAAAAAGGTATTGCTGTGCAGCCCATGAGAGCTGAAAACTCAGCATCCGGCTTTGGTCATGCCAGGATGACAGCATGTACCACATGCAGCTTCTTTGGTCATTTATGCAGGTAAAGACTACAACTGACTCTAAGAGTAGGCATGGGGTCCAGCAGTACACAAAACCCCGAATCCCAGTTGGGCACCTCCAGTAGTGTTGTAGTCTGGGTGTCTATTGCTATGATGGAACATCATGACCAAAAATAGAACTGAGAAGGAAAGGGTTTATTTGGGTTACACTTCCGTAGCACTGTGAATCGTTGAAGGAAGTCAGGACAAGAAATCACACAGTGCAGGAACCTGGAGGCAAGTGCTGATGCAGATGCTGTGGAGGGGTGCTGCTTACTAGCTTGCTTCTATGGCTTGCTCAGCTTGCTTTCTTATAGAACTCAGGACCACCAGCCCAGATACAGCACCACCACTATCCAGCATTAGTAGTATCTACTAGTAGATACTAGCTTTCAAGTCCTTTGTTCTTCCTTCATGATACCAAGTACCCACCAGAAATAATTCATTTAGGTCATTGTTTGTAGCCAGATAGAATTAATTTGTGTTCTCATAAGAAGGGAAACCTGAAGTTTTAGAAAAATATTTTGTCAACATGGCTTAAATTTTAGCTAACATTCACTAAGGATAATCAAGTCAAGGAGACCCTGTAGTCAAGCCCAGCTTGCATATTATCATTTACTCACTTTAATTAAATGTCATTTCAAGAATCATTTTCTATGTAAATATTTCCTATTCCATTTTGAACTCTTTCTTTTTTTTCTTTTCTCTTTCTTTCTTTCTTTCTTTCTTTCTTTCTTTCTTTCTTTCTTTCTTTCTTTCTTTTTTTTTGGTTTTTCAAGACAGAGTCTCTCTGTGTAACCTTGGCTGCTTGGCTGTTCTAGAACTCACTCTGTAGACCAGGCTGTCCTCGAACTCACAGAGATTCACCTACCTCTCTGCCTCTCAAGGGCTAGGATTAAAGGCATGCACCACCAATGCCCAGCCCTCAGAAAGAACTCTTAAAATACTATTTGAAAATTCTCATCTGTAGGCACTGAAAGGACAAACTTGATATGTTCAGGAATGTAGACCTCACCAACAAGTAAAAACATGGGACACCTGTTTACTTTTCAAGAACATCCTATCCTAAATATTGAACACAGGAAGACATACCCATAAGGGCCCATGACTCTCTTGGGTGTAAAAGTGTTGGGATGTACCTGTTTATTTCTTTTCTTTTCTTCTCTTCTCTCTTTCTCTCTCCCTCTCTCTTCCTTCCTTCCTTTCTCCTAGACAGGGTTTCTTTGTGTAGCTGTGGCTGTCCTGGACCTTGCTCTGTAGACCAGGCTGGCCTCGAACTCACAGAGATCCACCTGCCTCTACCTTCCTCATACCGGGATTAAAAACACCTGTATATTTCTTTGTTAGCTTTTCCTCCCTTCTGTCACTCTTTCCAAAAAGAAAACCAACACCATCACCAAATCTTTTTTTTTTTTTTTTTTTTGATCTTTGGTCAATCCATGCACGGATACAATGTGTTTAGGTCGTTTCCACCCTCTGTACCCAACTCCTTCCAGAAACCAATCCCCACATTCTTCTCCCAATTTCTTTTCTCCTTTTCCTTCTCCTTTTTTCCTCCTCTTCCTCTTCTTGTTTGCTGAAGAAAACTGACTCTACCTCCCATAGTGTGCTGGCTAGTTTTATGTCAACTTGACATAAACTACAGTCATCTGAAAAGAGGGAACCTTAATTAAGAAAATGCCTCTGTAAGATCCAGCTGTAAGGCATTTTCTTAATTAGTGATTGATGGGGAGGGCCCAGCCCATGGTGAGCAGTGGTCCTCAGCATGCTAGGGGATGGACTGGCTTGATCCTGTGTTTGTCTTACAGCATCATCGGCTGAGAGTTGATGACCACAATGACATGATATGTCCAGAAGACATCAGCATTCTCCCCACTCTTTAGCAATCTTCCTACTCACTCTCCCAGATGTTTCCTGAGCCCCAAGGTCACAGGTGTGTGATATAGATGTTCCATGTAGGGCTGAGAACTTCACAGTCTCTTATTCTCTACACTTTGACCAGATTTATCACTGTTATTAAAGAATCTGCCTTATCCCATGCCTGAAGAGTCCAACAAGAAGCTTTTGCTACTTGTCCATAGTAATTAGAATCAGGGCTAACTTTTGAACCAAAATGCACCTGAGAATGACTGGCAAGCTGTCAGCCAGAACCAGAGAGTGGCCAGATTTCACTGGGCATTGAGAAGCAAGAGAAAAGAAGAGCATTCATTAGTAGAGATGAATTTTCCGTTTCCAAAGTTGAAACTAAAATATGTTGGTATACAGAGAAGAGAGTGATATAAATCTCTTTAGAAAATACACTTACATAGAATAAGTCAAACAAAAAGAAATTCATTATCACTTCCTACATCCCCAAAGTATGCAAAATGAGAAGCATTTATGGCTGAAGAATAAATACCTCCAGCTGCTTTCTTCCTAGACACAGTATATGCTAAACAGTGGTGATGGTTAGCTGATCTGGACTGTCACGTTTTCTGCCAACAACAGTCAGGATTCAACTACATTAGCAGGTATTTGGTGACATAAGGCAGAGAAGCTTTGCTGTGTGGTAGCAGATGGAACAGGAGGGGAATGACTCCCTCACAGGACTCCCAGAGTCCCTGACACACTCAAGGAGAGATGTGGTCATGTCTGCAGGTCTGACAGGTGACATGAAAAGCTCAGAACAGTCTTCATAAAGAATACTCAGACATGGAAGGAGATGCATATTGTCCTCGGGTTGCAAAAGTAACAATTGGTTCTTCCCAGTACATCCCACCCTGCTAATTTTCAGTTCATATAATAAATGTAGTTTATTTTTCTTTTCCCTTCAACAATTCCTGCTCAAGAAGGCTAGAGGGGGCAAGAAAGTAGACCCACTAGAATATGAAGTCACAGGCACTTCGAACGCTCAGATCACTGGTGCTTGAAGTACTACATCAGATTATTACTATTTTCACACTATTTTAAAATTCAAGTTGGTCATCTTATTTTCACTCATTCAAACATAAACATTTCTGATAATAAAAGTGATTCCTGGGAGTGCATGCATGAATCATGAATGCTTACAGAGTCAGTCAGATCAGATCTTTTCCCTCAAAGACTTCAATAAGAAAAAGGTGTGCAATGTGGAGCACAGAGCTGTAGCATGCAGGTGTAGTTGTGCCAGCCTCCCCGCAGGTTGCTCCTGCTGCCCCCTGCCTCAGAGACAGAATGCTGACAGGGTCTCCTCGGTGTGCTCTGCCCAGCCTGAGCCTCAGGTATCTCACTGTGTAGAGCAAGCAGCTCTTCATCACAATCATCGCAATTGTTACCAGTGTCCTACAGATGATCGACTGTGACATCAGAGAAGTAAAGAACTTGTTCAGAAAAGGCCAGAGTGACAAAAGTAGAGTCAGAAAGTCCAACATAGCTGGTTTTGAAGAGCAAGGCCACAACTAATGACCATGAGCAGCCACTAGAAGCAGGAAAAGCTAATGAAGTAGATGTTCTCATAGAGTTTCCAGAAAGGAGGGCAGCCAGTCAAGCCCTTGATTTTTAGCCCCAGGCTACCTGTGTTTGATAGATAATCTATGAAACAGAATGATGAGACATTTGTGATTTTATGTCATGACAGAAGGAAAAAGAGAGAGGAAAGAGCAAGAGAGAGACTCTGAAGGCTGACATTAGAACCCAGGCCTGTCTTCCTCTCTCAATGTCTGTGGTTCTAATGATGGATGTAACAGAAGCAGAGTGAGTCAGTAGAAGACATGGCTAAACAGGAGTGTTTTGAAAGTAGATGCCAACATTTATCCATTACACACTTATCCAAAGGTCTCTTTGGTAGGAAATTATTTCTAACACTTATAACCTAAAACAATATGTACTATATTAACTATGAAAAATCTTAATACTGTTTCATTCATCTCTATGCTCTAGTTCGTTTCTAATCCTTTCTCTCTGCCTCTCTCTCTCTCTCTCTCCTCTCTCTGTATGTGTGTGTGTGTGTGTGTGTGTGTGTGTGCGCGCGCGCGCACGCTTGTATGAATGGATGCACATTTACACAAGTGTACGTGGAGGTCACAGGTCAGTGTCAGGTATCCTAATCAGTCATTCCTCTACCTTTGTTGTTGAGACCTGAAGCCCATCAATTTGGTTAGACTATCTTTTTTGCTGTTGTTTTGTTTTTGTTTATCGAGACAGAGTTTCTCTGTGTAGCTTTGGAGCCTGTCCTGGGACTTACTCTGTAGCTCACAGAGATCCGTCTGCCTCTGGCTCCCAAGTGCTGGCATTAAAGGTGTGAGCCACCACCGCCCATATTGGCTAGACTATCTTAGCCGCAAGGCCCAAGCATCCTCCAGTGTCCACTTTCTTCCCCAAGCAGGGACTGCTGGTGTGATTCTCCATAGCCAGCTCTTTACATTTCTGCTGGGATCCAACTCGGGTTTGCATGCCTTCACAGCAAGCACTTTATAGAAGGAGACTTCTCCCTAGCCTTTCTAGTTTCTCTTCAAATAATCATAAGAAAATGTAGCTTTGAAGAATGAAAATTTGCTCATAAAGATATTTATGCTAACACTATATAGGTAGATACAAAAATCAACAAGATGGATTCATCAAAAAAGTATTACAACAGATAAAACTTTTTATAATACTAAGAATATATAAATTGTTATTTTTTAAATTAGCAAATTGTCTAGGTCATATATTTTACTGAGGGTGTTGTCTTTTTAGCCAGGTTGCATAAGGATGCCTATCTAGGGCAAAATCTGTAGCTGGAGACACTTAGCCCTGTACAACAGAACATTTCTCTAATACTACATTTTTGAGAATTCTTTTTCTTACATATAGGATTTATATGGTCTTTTGACTTACCTCTTCTAACACCTTGATTAAAATAAGCTTGTATGTGTTTGATAAATGTTCTGTGAAGTGGCAATCTCATGCATGAAGTACCTTTAAGAATGAAAAGAAAATGAGTTTTCTAACAAAAATACCCGGTAGAGCAAAAAAGTTTCTTTTAACTATATTTTTTAAAATACAGTTGTCAACACAGAATTCGTTGGCATAGCCTGATCTGGTTCTTCCTAAAATGTGAGCACTTGGTGAAGTGTTTTCTAAACTCTAACTAGGAAATCAATAAATTCCTCTAAGAACCAAAAACCCTTTCAACAGTTTGACATCACACGCATATAACTTTATGACTCAATAATCATAATTACCTATATGGCAGTAATTAGATGGTCTAGGCTACACTGTAGAGTGATATCATCTCCATTTCACTTGACACCCCCTCAAAATCCAGTTTTTAAACAGGAGAGCAGCTTTCCTAGCTCTTTTAATCTATACCCACCTAGTAGAATGAAATGGAAAATTGTCAATTGCTCAGTTTATGTACAAAATATAGATTTTTCTGAATGGCTAATTTCCAGTTAATGTTGATGGCTGGCATCAATAAAATGGTTAAACTTTTGTGCTAACACAATCAACCCTGCAATTGCTCACAGCATTAGCATGGGCTGTCTGACACAATTTAGGCAATTTGCCAAAAAAAAATGGAGACATAACTATCGATACAGTTTAAAGTAATTTTAAAATGACTATGTACAAACACTCATTTTGAAGACAAGATGGATTAGAACACAGTTATTCACTTTATAAATGATAAATAGTGCTTGTTTTCTTAAATAGAGCTATTCAACACATTTGAGTATACAACAGATTTGTTACATTCAAAAATGTCTTCTTTGTGAACAAATTAGAAAGAATGGCAAAAGTATTAAAAATACATTTGTAATGGTCCTTATAAAAAGAGTATTTTCCAAACAAGATAGAGATTTTGTTCCAGTAACCTTGGGAGTCTATGATGACTCTGATCCCATCATTGGGTATTGGGTATGGAAGAGTAAACAATATATTGCTATAGGTCTGAGGTAACAAAAGGAATTAAGGAGAAACTCTTACATAAAAGCAGGTAATGTACCTTACATGTTTATAGAAATAATTCCTGTCAGAGAGAAAGCAGCCCCTTTCTTACCTCAAGCTTAAGGGTGGGGCTCTTGGGATGTAACAAAAATTATTGTTGCCTTCAGATGGTGCCATCTGTCTGGGTTCACACAGGAGAGACAGGGCCTCCATGTGCCCAGACTATTTCCTCTGACCCACTGGGGTGTGATAAAATTAAAGCTACTCCTTCTATCTCTTGCTGACTCTGTGTGTTTGCAAAAGCAGTATCAAAATATACACAAATGCAGTGCTACAGAGAATGTCCATTATAAAAGAAAATTTTGTCTCTATAATTGAATTTGCCTATTTCATCATTACTTCCATGCCAAGATGTGTTTTCAGGCATCCTTTTACACAAACAACACCCTTTACATGTTTATGTTGATGCAATTTACTTTACCATTATTTATTATTCATTTCTTGCGAGAAAAATACCATGTAGCCCAGAGTGACTGTGAGCTTTGTAGTATAGGTTGAGTTTCAACTTGAGATTGACCTGCCTCAGTCTCCTGATGGCTGGGCCAGACATGCCCTGGCTTCTTATTTGTGTTGTACCTGAGTAAATCAAAGGAATGCAATCTGGTTAATCACAAAAAAAAAGATAATTTGTGAGACCTTTTTTAATAATGGAAAAGATAGGGGCTAGAGAGATGGCTCAGAGGTTAAGAGCACTGCTTGTTCTTCCAAAGGTCCTGAGTTCAATTCCCAGCAACCACATGGTGACTCACAACCATCTGTAATGAGATCTGGTGCCCTCTTCTGGCTTGCAGGGATATGTGTGACAGAACACTGTATACATAATAAATACATAAATCTTTAAAAAAATAATGGAAAAGATATTCCAAAATAATGTTTTTGGAGATGTTATTATTTTGTGCTAAAAAATACTTCTAGCATACCACCTATTCCCTTGATCAAATTTGACTTCAGCACCTGACAAATGCCAAAAAAAAATTTAGAAAGAAGGGGAAAAAAGAAGTGAAAATAAAAACTAAATTGAACTGCCCTATATGAAGAAGGAAAACTACAGGAATCGGGAGTTCAAATGCACTTGGAAGACAATAGCTATTTTAAAATTAAGAAAAACATGTGTAGTAAAAGTAGTAGCATGAGTTTAGAGCTAAAATCATATTACTGTGGAACAACTCTTGTTACTATTGACTATTTCAATCTTAGCAGAGATTGCCAGAATGCTCTCACCCATTCACCACTCCTCCAGTTTTACAAAAAGAGGAAATGAAATGAAATAAGATGGCAGTGAGAATTCGACAGTAACTTTTCAGACTCAAGGGGGCTATTTTTATTCAACTTGTAGTTATGTTTTCTTGTAAAACATCCAAGAACAGATTGAGCATAACTGAACTTATTTATACCTCCCTCCAGGAGTTTTTTTTTTTTTTAAATTTCCAGAGTTTCTTAACTGAGTCCTTCCTTTTAATGAATTATTCCATATACAGGGCAAGATTTCAGGTGTGTATCCTATTTTAAAAACATCATCATATAAAGCTTCAGAATTTCAAAACAAACATGAAAATAAACAAGTATTTGCCCTCTAAAGAAAGAATTCACTTGAAATAAGACTGAGTTCTTACATATTAAATGCATATGTATGTCTTGGTTGTAGTTTTATAAAAATGTCAAGCTGAAACAAGTTTACCAGCCGCCTTTGCTCAGCCTCTTGCTCTTGTTCACTCCAGATTCAACGCATGGTCTTGTCCTGTCAGTGTTTAACCTGTTGCCTTTCCAGTCACACCTGTAAAGGAGTCACAATCATCTAAGGAAAATGACTCTTTTGGTGCTGAAGTAGGAAGTAATTCTGGCTATATTGCACCTGCCAGAGAGGGAAAACATGGAGACTTTCTGTGACCGACCCGTAAAAGCAATGCATTCCAGCAGAGAAGAAGGGCTGTCCTCCATTACTTACAATGTATGACCAATGCGATAGAGAAGAACAGACATGCTCGTGTATAACAAATTAATGTCAGAGGAATCTATAAACACTGGTCTTGCTATGGAAGGGGTTACATTAAATTTAGAACTGGCTTGAAAATACTGAAAGTAACCTGTAATCCAAAACAATATCATAATTATCCATTTTTGAAAAATATGGAAAGTGTTCAAATAATGATGCCAAAATGTTATAGTCAAAGCAAATAAAATTTGCTTCAATCTTTCTCAAGGAGTTGCTATTCTTTTTTTCTGCTTTCTTTATAAATAGTTTTTATACTTTAAAAATTTCTTGCATATATACA